TTCCTCTCAGAAGGATAAAGATTTCACTCTGTCTCTGACAGATAAGCAAAGAAAACACAGTTCAAGTCTCTCCCCATGATATGTTCCTGATTTTGCAAGCTTGGCTAAGACGACCTTTTGCAGATCATCTTTGCCATGAAACTCGAAAGAAGGAGATATAACTACAGTGGGCCTTCCACATTTGCTGCAAGTTAGGGGTGCAGGACCCTTGTGAAAGTGGAATAACTGGAAATACAAAATCAAAACACACTGGTTGTTTTTTTTTTTTATCTGAGAGGACACCTCTCTGGGAAACTCTAGGTCCTCCAGTACAAGACTGTGGTCAACATCTGCCAGAGGCTGACCATAGAATTGAGCCAGAGGACCTACAAATGCCTAGAGAAATGTTCTTTCTAGGAATCTCTAGTTCCTCCACCATGACTTCTGGTGGATGTTGACCATAGAGTCATGCTGGAGGATTTAGAGATTCCTTGAGGCAACATATTAATCAAATCTGTGAATAAATAAAGCTGCAAAAATCAAAGCTGCAAGCGTGGAGGGACAACTATATAAAAACAAAGTTTTTCAGAACTTTGGCACTGGCGTTGTCCTACTGGAAGAAGGGAGAATTCACTTTCCCTTCCTTATGGAGGTGGCAGCAGGCAGTGCTGGAAACCCAGGCCTTAGGCATGGAGCTTCACCATCAAGTCAAGTCAGTGGTTGGTGGTTTCCATGTCAGTGGGGCAGTGAAACTATTCCTGGTTTCAGTCTGAACCCTAAGGGAGCTCTCCAAGTTGCTAGGCTCATTTAAAAAATAGGATTCAGCACATTGGATTGCTCCTTTGAATTCTGGACCAAAACCCAGAAGTGATTCACTGTCCAAGGCAGCCATCTGCTGTCACTAAAGTCAATGACATAATCACAGCAACATTAGTTTATGTGAGATACTGGAGTGAAAAAAAGACATTCCTCAGAAAAAGAACTGATTTTTGAAATTGTGGGAATTGGCAGTGATGAATGAGAGCATTTGTGTATTCAAATGAGTCAGGGAAGGCTAATGAAAATAAGTTCAAAGAAAGATTATGGTTGTTTAGAACAGCCTGAAATGCTAAATAGACTGTAGCAAAGAATAATTCCTTTCTTTTGCACTGAGGACTATTATAGACTGTGATATTGTGTCATATGCTTTTAATGTGGCACCACTACATTATACCATTAAGTAAAATTTAACTCTTTATATGTCTTATATATTCTTTTTTGAAATGCTTAGTCCCATGTGTGAAATTTGTTTTTCTGATGTCTATTTTAATATTTGATAGCTCTAATTTCATAAAATGTTAGATCATTATCTTTTTTTAAAAGTCAACATCATTCTTTAGAAGGCAATGCCATAATCATTAAAAGTCAACATGGGTTTCTCAAAAACAAGTCATACCAGACTAATCTGATCTGGAATACTGTGTCCAGTTCTGGGCACCACAATTAAAAAGGATGTTAAAAAACTGGAGCGTGTCCAGAGGAGGGCGGCTAAAATGGTGAAGGGTCTGGAAACCATGCCCTATGAGGAACGACTTAGGGAACTGGATATGTTTAGCCTGGAGATGAGAAGGTTAAGAGGTGATATGATAGCCCTGTTTAAAAATTTGAAGGGATGTCAAATTGAGGAGGGAGCTAGTTTATTTTCTGCTGCTCCAGAGACTAGGACC